CAGAAAAAACAAGGGTGGGTGGTTGGTGGGAGCTCTGGTGCGGTTTGCTCCTTCTTTCTATAATAAATCCTTTGTCCTCATCTCTCTTCCTTGTAATTGTATTTGTTACTCTCTTGTAACACCTCTAACCTTAATCTTCGGCACTCATAATTAGATCTAATTGTGCTGCAAGCGCTGTAAAACTCTTACTAAAACTTAAACAAAAAAGGCAAGAAAAAAAGTAGGGCCTCGAAGTGGTGCCCTCTACAACCATCCGGTTTTTTTGTTTTTGTTTTTGTTTTTGCTTTTGTTTTTTCTTAAATTTATTGTTTTGTTTTTTGTTGTAATTTTTTTTTTTGGGGGGGAGGAGGTCGAGTAAGGAAGGGCACATCAACATAGCAACTGCCATAAAGTAAATGGAAAACAAGAAGACCACATTTCGCCCATTCTTTGCTTTGTTTGAGTATACAAGAGTACATCGACACAGTAACAGTAGTGCAGGGAAAAGGCAAAACAGGCAGGCAGATAGACAGACAAACAGGCAGATAGACAGGCAGACAGACAGACAGACAGATAGGAACAACAGAAGAAAACGAAAGGCGCAGAACCAACCAGTGGCGCCCTACAAGTACAACCACCCACCCAGAGCAGATTAGAAGAGCCGCAACACTGGCAACAAGTAGAAGACGCAGACCACACTAAGGCGCCCATTAGCCACGCGCCCTCATTAGACAGTCCCGGTCGTCGGGAGACAGTGGTTTGGGGGAACATGGGAAGAGGAAAAAGAAGCTTGGGCAACAGGACTTTGCGTCTCTCACTTTGACAGATGTTCGATGTAACCCTCTGGGGTAGGCTGAAACAAACGACATAGAAGAACTAGAGCATTGCCTCTTAGGTCTCGTTGAGTCTTTCACAAACAATAGAAATGGGAGGGAGATGAGAGGCTAAAAGAGGACAAGACACAAAACTATATGGATCTGGGTCGCAGAAAAGGGGAAACGACGGATCCTAGACTGTCAAAAACAGCATGTGACCTAGTTTCAAAAGATTCTCATTAAACGACTACGAAAAACAAACAACACAAAACTACCACAAAAAAAAAGAAAAGAAAAGGCGTCAGCAAAAGCAAGATAATTTCGCAGTGCAGAGTCGGTTGGGCGTGTCGAAATGACATATGATTCAACCGAAAACTTTCAAACAATACGTCATACTCGTTGACACCTCAGGAAATATCTTCGGGCTCAATGTTTCAGCCTTAAATCCGACTTCCATTTGCATTCCATTCCCATTTCTAAACAGAACCGTTATTCCTTCAAGTAAATGTAAGTGTCCTCAAACTAATGAATTCAATCGAGACTCCCTGGATTCAATCAACAAATCGATCGACAGGTCAATGAGCACTGTTGCATACCAAGCATAATTGTTCAGCAATACCGTAGGCAAAGGGATTGGTCTTTAATGCAAGTGCAGAGCGCTATAGAAATCTAATCGCAAGCCTGAAGAAATAAGAAGGAAAAAAGAAAGAAAGAAAGAAAAAAGAAAGAAAGAAAGAAAGAAAGAAAAACCTAACAGACGTCAATACAATTTTCTGTCACGGCAAGTCGTGAGACCGTCGTGGGAGGGAGACAAAACGTCCCCAGGATATCAACTGGTCTAGAAAGAACTCAGCGTAAACTATCCCAGGACTTATCAGGCGCCTTAATGGGTGAAAGAAAAGGATCTTATTGCTTTAGAGACAGGGAAGTACGAAGAATTCCGAGGCACTGACGGAATGAAAAGATCTTTGTAGACTTTGTTCAGCTTTTTTCCCTCTTCTTTTTTTTAAGAACAGGAGAGAACGAGAAAAAAAAAGGGGGGGGGGGGGGTGGGTAGCATGGGTGGGCGAAACAACTCATAACTTTTTTTTAATATAAAAAAAATATTTAAGTCTTAAGGTGTTCTTCAAAACTAGATATAAGTTATGTTCCATTATCATTTTATATAGACTGCCTCTTATTCTTGTTCAGAGAATCAATATGAGGAACTTTCACGTACCCAGTCGCGTTGAAATTGTGTTATATTATTTCATTTGCAGAACTCGGTATATTCCAAAAGAATGTTACATACACAAACTTGCATATAACAACAGGCTACAAAAGGAGACCGAAACAGTTTTATGAAAGAAAGGATATTGTGGCCTATGCGTGGCCAAAAGAAAGTCACTACTCCTTTTACATTCAAAAAGATATATCTGATTCTGGACGTCAATTTCGAAACGTGAGTTCCTTAATGATATGTACTATGTACGTCTGAACCTACTTCTCAAAGCGAAAATCAAATTAGCCTCAGCCTTCTTTTTTTAAATCACGCATTGCCATTATACTATAGAAAACAGAACTGACTCCGGAACTATGTGTGTAGCGACGATATAATGAATAATATACACATTAATGCTCCGTATACATAATGGCATCGAGATTTTCAGCCAACCCCAGACAATAGAAAGAAACGCTACAAACTTAAATCTCTGCAATCCAAACATGGTGATTGAAGTTAGCTTTATAGACACACACACACGTTTGTGTGTGTGTGTGTGTGTGTGTGTGTGTGTGTGTGTGTGTGTGTACGCGTGTGTGTGTGTGCGCGTGTGTGTGTGTGAGTGTGTGTGTGTGTGTGTGTGTGTGTGTTAATACAGACGGCACGGACCAGTCGAAAAGAAATAATACAAAGGATGTAATAGACACACGGACCTAAAATATAAATCAATCATTCAACACAACCACTAGACAGCGCTGTGCAGGGAGGACAATTAGAAGAGAAGCTTGTTACCACGCGAAAAAAGTGAGGTATTTAAAATACCAATTTGCTGTTCAAATTTATACATGGTTGGGCTCCTTTATTAACGAAACACACACATATCTAACTTTGAAGGACATGCAGCACCTGGTTATTTGAGAAGGTAAAAACAAAACATGGGGCAGTTTGTTATTAAAGTAAAGCTATAAAAAGTAAAGGGACCACCCGCCACCCCCTGCACGCAAAGCTAAAAATTAAAAAGGATGGTTAGGGGCGGGCAAACCAGAGCATAGAAGAGGAACGAAGGGTATTT